CGGGAAGAGGGAACGGGTGGAAATTGGAGGCTTGATCCCGGCGTTTGCTGGGGCGTAGCAGCCCGCCATGCAGCTCCTTTATTTCCAGAGCAGTGGGGTTTCATCGCAGCGAGGGCCAAGCTGCTTCCTTTGCTGCGACGTTCGGGATCCGATCGTACCAGGCTGCTCGTGGGGACGCTTGGGCGTTCACCGCTCGCGCCTGGGTCCTTACTGCAGATCCCGGCGTGTTAATCCTCGTTTCGGAGGGGTGTTTGAGTCGTTCTGGGCTTCGGCCGGTGTTTGGAGCTCCGGCAGCTCTCGCTGCTGGGAGAGAAGGGGTCGCACGAGGCTGTGTTTGGGTGTGAATGGAGGGGATCGACCCTAATTTCTCTTTTTCGGCGCTTCTCGTACCTCTGGTCCTGCGCAGCGCCGGGCCCAGTCGGCACCCAAGGCCCCCGGGAAGCCCCTCTCCCGCGGGCGAAGACCTGAGCGGAGCGGAAACCAAGCCCAGGTGGTTTTGTGGCCGATGGCTTCTGTTGTTTATGCTTCCTAATTCCTTTTTAACCGATTTAATTGCTCCTTCGTTTAGCTTCCTAGCGAGGGGTCTGGCTGCCATCAGCTGCTCCCACCCGCCAGCGTGAAGAGCCCAGGAATCGCCGCCTGCTGGTCCCCCGGTGGCCTTCCCTGCATCGCTCGGTGTCCCTGGACCTTCGGGAGCCCGGCACAGCCCCGCTCGGTAGGAGAGAAGCAGGATCGGCCCTGGGACGTTCGGGTATCGCAGGGACGGGAGCGCGGGGGGGTCTGAGCCCCGGGGAAAAGGAGCTTTTTGCAGGATGCGGCGTGGGAAGGAGTGGTGCCCGTTCCCAGGTTGTGCTGCTCTTGGCGAAGCGTTTCCAGATGTTTCCATCTCGGGGCGTCTCTCACCCTTGCGCGGTCGGTGCCTGCTAGCGGCTCGCTGGAGATGGGCTTGCCCAGGAAAAGCTCCGGCTTTTCCCAGATTTTTCCAGCTCCTGGGATTGCTCAAGTCCCGGAGAAAAGAGGGTTTAGGGGATGTCCCCCTGCTTGGCGTGTCCCTGCGACCTCCCTCTGAACTGGTCTTGCACCGCAGGTTCTGCTGCTGACGCTCGGATGCTGTATTCCCACCGGAGCTGGGCTCGACCCCGGGGGCTCCGTGTCCCAGGCTGCTTCGTTAGGGACAGCACCGGGGGAATCTCCGTCGGCGCTAATTAGCGACAGTGGCGGCAGCTGGGGCTGCGCACGGTCCCGGAGCCGAACCGGGCTGGGCCCTTTGTACCCCGGCACCGTGGGAGCTCGGGGCGGG